AATAAAACGGAGTAAGTCTCCCTAACCTCTACATTCCGCGCATCTTTCATACACATATATATATATATGCGGTTCAACAGGAGAAGAACCCATGCGTAAACAAAATGAGTAGAGGATGATGGGGCTTACAGATATGAAGAGTTCCAGGGAGAGAATCTCGGATTGAACGCGACTCCGCGGCATGCCTTAAAAAACAAGAAGTACGAATCGATGTTGTGTGGAGAAGGATTCCGACGGAGCAAAAGGCAGTTCAGCAAATACAGGGGTTGTTTGCGTTTTGAAAAAAAAATGGTTTTCAAATTCGAAGAGGGTATTTAAAGGGACAAAAGTCCTTGACCCCTGACCGTTGGATGAAGATTTTAAAATCCAACGGCAAGGGGATCCTGCCCAGATCTGACGGTGACAAACGAGGGCGGGAAACGAAAGAGTCGCAATCCAAAGGCTCGTATTCGTCCTTTCAAAAATGGAGCCTTGCGTCATCATGGGGAATCGATCGACGCGACGGTTGCGTCCCCCGAAGGAAATCCGAAGCGTCCAGGCCATCATTGTAGATGAAGGCTCGGGACCGGTTTCCCACACCCGAAGCACAGAAGTACGACCAAACCAAAGCTCGAGGCCGCCTAAAAGGAGCCCTCGACCTGGGGGGTAGCTGTTGTGTGGGAAAATGTGACGGACACCTGGACGAACGATAATGCGACACGTGGCCTTAACTGCTCCCCGCCAAGCAACAACCCTCAACGTCTACAGCTCTAAAGAGCCCAAGCACAAAGTCCAACTTAAGGCGACGATTCCTTCTGGCGTCGACAGATTGAGCCGGATTCCTTCTGGCGTCGACAAATTGAGCCGTCGAACTTAAGGTACAAAGATCCCTCGACCACAGAATCAACCACCAAGAAGGACGACTGGGCTAAGCGTCGCTGGCGACGAGGGGAACGTTCTCTGGAGGACGTGGCAAGTTGCGTACAAAAGTGGAGGACGCCTGCAGGCATTAATTGCGAGCTCTTAAACCACCCCACAGGGGACAGGATAGTGTTACAGGGATGCACAGAGCCGTAATAGAAGACTAATTGGCTGAGTGAACAGTGCTGATTAGTGGGCTACGTCTGGGCCTAAAAAGGGGAAGCACTTGAGTGCTTCTGCCTACGAGGGAAACCCACCCAGCGAAGGAAGCCCAGTGTAAAAGGAGGGAGACCCCCTACGAGGAAGGGGTTCAGATACAAGAAGAGAAAAAAGAGAGTGAGAGATAGCAATTGATGTAAATTGTAATCTCCTCAAAAAGAAATATACAACTACAGTCGATGTAGCTCTAATTTTACAGAGTGAACCACTATAAAATTTCTTGTCTTCTTTATTTGTGCACATCTCAAACGAGGGCGGGAAACGAAAGAGTCGCAATCCAAAGGCTCGTATTCGTCCTTTCAAAAATGGAGCCTTGCGTCATCATGGGGAATCGATCGACGCGACGGTTGCGTCCCCCGAAGGAAATCCGAAGCGTCCAGGCCATCATTGTAGATGAAGGCTCGGGACCGGTTTCCCACACCCGAAGCACAGAAGTACGACCAAACCAAAGCTCGAGGCCGCCTAAAAGGAGCCCTCGACCTGGGGGGTAGCTGTTGTGTGGGAAAATGTGACGGACACCTGGACGAACGATAATGCGACACGTGGCCTTAACTGCTCCCCGCCAAGCAACAACCCTCAACGTCTACAGCTCTAAAGAGCCCAAGCACAAAGTCCAACTTAAGGCGACGATTCCTTCTGGCATCGACAGATTGAGCCGAATTCCTTCTGGCGTCGACAAATTGAGCCGTCGAACTTAAGGTACAAAGATCCCTCGACCACAGAATCAACCACCAAGAAGGACGACTGGGCTAAGCGTCGCTGGCGACGAGGGGAACGTTCTCTGGAGGACGTGGCAAGTTGCGTACAAAAGTGGAGGACGCCTGCAGGCATTAATTGCGAGCTCTTAAACCGCCCCACAGGGGACAAGATAGTGTTACAGGGACGCATAGAGCCGTAATAGAAGACTAATTGGCTGAGTGAACAGTGCTGATTAGTGGGCTACGTCTGGGCCTAAAAAGAGGAAGCACTTGAGTGCTTCTGCCTACGAGGGAAACCCACCCAGTGAAGGAAGCCCAGTATAAAAGGAGGGAGACCCCCTACGAGGAAGGGGTTCAGATACAAGAAGAGAAAAAAGAGAGTGAGAGATAGCAATTGATGTAAATTGTAATCTCGTCAAAAAGAAATATACAACTACAGTCGATGTAGCTCTAATTTTACAGAGTGAACCACTATAAAATTTCTTGTCTTCTTTATTTGTGCACATCTCAAACTATAACTTTACTTTCCTTTAGAATTTGATTGTAAAACAAGTAAAAAAGATATCTTGGAGAACAAGCAATTGAATCCCAGTGGGATTCAACCTGCACCACATGCCCCTGCACCTCTATGTGCTTGGGCGTGTGGCCTCCTGTAGTCCCACCATAGTGTGTTTCAAAATTAATTTAATTAAATAACCACATTATTTATTTCTAATGACATTAAATCCCAACAATTAACCTTATCTTGCAAATATTACAAGGATGATGTAGGAATTCATGCACCTATTATTCTGAGCTCCAATAAAATTAATAATTAATTAAACTTTTAAATTAATTAATTCTTTTTATTCTAAAAGTTACTCCACTAAAAACTTAGACAGCACTCTCGAAATTACACATAATTTTCTTTGAAGAACTTGAAGTGTCCATTTGATATAGTCACTACATATAGATCAATCCTTCATAAATAATTCATAATTAGAGGTAGGTAAAATATGTTAACCTCTCTAATTACTTCTTTATCCTTGAGTACCATTGATTCTCTAATGAATAGTATATTCATAAAACAAATTATGTATACGGGCTCGTTACTTTTTAAAGTATCGAATTAATATTCAAGAGAATTATTTATCTACTTCTCTAAGGAAGAACGAATGGATTCTATTGTGTGGGAAAATGTGACGGACACCTGGACGAACGATAATGCGACACGTGGCCTTAACTGCTCCCCGCCAAGCAACAACCCTCAACGTCTACAGCTCTAAAGAGCCCAAGCACAAAGTCCAACTTAAGGCGACGATTCCTTCTGGCGTCGACAGATTGAGCCGGATTCCTTCTGGCGTCGACAAATTGAGCCGTCGAACTTAAGGTACAAAGATCCCTCTACCACAGAATCAACCACCAAGAAGGACGACTGGGCTAAGCGTCGCTGGCGACGAGGGGAACGTTCTCTGGAGGACGTGGCAAGTTGCGTACAAAAGTGGAGGACACCTGCAGGCATTAATTGCGAGCTCTTAAACCGCCCCACAGGGGACAAGATAGTGTTACAGGGACGCACAGAGCCGTAATAGAAGACTAATTGGCTGAGTGAACAGTGCTGATTAGTGGGCTACGTCTGGGCCTAAAAAGGGGAAGCACTTGAGTGCTTCTGCCTACGAGGGAAACCCACCCAGCGAAGGAAGCCCAGTGTAAAAGGAGGGAGACCCCCTACGAGGAAGGGGTTCAGATACAAGAAGAGAAAAAAGAGAGTGAGAGATAGCAATTGATGTAAATTGTAATCTCCTCAAAAAGAAATATACAACTACAGTCGATGTAGCTCTAATTTTACAGAGTGAACCACTATAAAATTTCTTGTCTTCTTTATTTGTGCACATCTCAAACTATATACACCATACACTCCGAACAATAAATTTACACACATATTCAACACCTAAGCCGATAATCCAAAGAGAAACTAAGAGATAACCCGGCCGGTTTTTGTTGACGAGAAATCACCGTCAACAAATGTGCCTAGACGCAACCTATTCTATAGTTGATAATTAAACATTGGATGCATATAGAGATGTAAATTATAGCTAAACATGGTCTGAAGTCCGGTGATTACGGTAAGAAGAATGGTACTATCACTCTTTTTTATCATTTTCTCCATATCAAAAATTCAAAATCTGCAGTCAGCCAATATTTTATCATTGCAAAGCTGCAGAAAATCTCAGTGGACCACTTAATACAACTTAAATCTTAGTGGACTATTTAACATAACTTTTCCAACATAAATTTGATAAAAGTAAAAAGAAAAAAAAAAGATTTTAGTGGTAATTGCCTAAGCTAAGCTTGAATAGCTTTGCAAATAGCTAGAAAAATAATTATATTGCATAAATATTTAATCAAGTCGGCTTGCTTATAATGATCCAATCAACATCTGCTATCCCATTTTCTTATGTCGACGGTTGTCTCTTCAATTAAATTTGACACTTCGTGAATTGATTAAGTATTTTTAATATTTTTTTTCCTATTCATGTGTTTAGATTCTTAAATTTAAATGACATGACATATAAGTAGTGTAGGGATAGTCAATCAAAAAAAAAAAAATAGAGACAAGCTCTGGACTCATAATGACCACCATACATTTTCTTTTTCAAAAATGGTTTTCATCACCATAGGATACCCGTCACTCATAAAATAGTGAGTTCTACCTATCTACGTAGAGGGAACCACCTTATACGAGGATGAATAGGAGTGTTTTTTTTTTTTTTTTTGTTTACAAGTATTAAAGAAAAAAATTTTAAAAAAAACAATAAAAGATCACAACTTTGCCTCTTATGAGCGGCACCTTAAATGAGCTTAGCACTTAGCAGAGAAGAGCAACAAGATTACTTGGACTTAGCTCTATTCAGAGTGGTCATGGAGTCATATTTAACTGTAAGAAATTATATAAAAAGTTATATATATATATATATTTTTTTTTTTTTTTCAGTAAGAATGAGATACAAAAAATTGATTTCTTATTTATCCCACTTTGAGATTTTAGGTTTTCTATAAAAAGATAATAATAATAATAATAAGTAAAATTGAGTATGGAAAGTTTTGTATTCTAGGTATTGTTGTCCTGTAATTCTGCTACTGTGAGGAACGAATTCAAACTTGATATGTCACAGTCTAATTATAACAGAATATAATTTCTATTTACTTCCTTTTTTTTTTTTGGTAATTTACAATAGTAGAGAAACAAAAATGTCTTAAAGAGGCTCTGAGGGGTCTATCTCTTCATAGCTCCATTCATGAGATTTCCATTCAGGAAGTTGTTGGACAACAACCTGTATCAATTGAAAATTGCAAGTCGAAGAACACGACTAATTAAAAACAGAAAATTGGGAGTTTGGTAATAAATATAGAGATATATATGTCATATATGTGTATATGTGTATGCATATGTATATGTATATGTCTATGTATATGTATTCCATTTTAAGATCTTGAACCGTAAATAGAGGAAAGCAAGATCACAAACCAGTCCTCTGGAATCTGGTTCACCAACTTTAGTTTGGCAAGCAAGTCTCCAGTTTTTCGGTTTCTGCATAGATTAATTGTCCATAGCATTAATGCTAGCAATTCTACTAAAGAATGAAAGCAAACAATAGTTTTTAATAGCTAAGTTTTTCTTTTAAAAAAAGTTTTTAATAGTTTAGTATTAAGCAAAAGTTAGTATAATAATATGTCTTTTCCCTTGATCTAGAATTTTTTTGTAATCACTAGACTAAGGTAAAGGCATTTCAACTCGGCGTTCGCAAGATCTCTGCACAAACAATTTGGTGAGAATTAGCCTTAGTACCACTTATGAAGTCTAATTGTTCAACTACTCAAATCCTTTCATGACGGTGGTATATTCGAATACCTAACTCTCTAGTGGTATTCTTCTAATTTACTGAACAATTTGCGGTATCGCCAGCATGAATCAATCTTGTAACATGAAGGCAAAAGATAATAGTTGGCAAATTCACAAATAACTAGATTATACTATACCCTTTTCAGTTTTTCCTTCTCTTTGTCAGTACGAGGGCTTAATAGCTCTTTTCCTTCAATAACCTAAAACAAAAAAGAAAGAAAGAAAGAAATAAATAAAAATCATCAGAACAAAAGACATTTAATGGGTGTATGATACATTCAAGATCTTTTCCAAGTGGTCTGGCTCAATATTGAATCAGAAAGCCACTTGTACATTGCAAAGCATATGGTAAAATTTGTTTGAAAAAGCAGATTAAAATTGATATATATATATACCTCCACCATGCACGTCCCACAAGTTCCTCCCCCTGCACAATTTAGCAGAGGCCTAGACTGCAAATTTGCATAGATACAAACATTATTATTAAAATATAACTCTATCCACATGTATAAGTACAAGACATTGAAATCAAATATATATATATATATATATATATTGAACATTATTTTCATACCTTCACTAATTAGATAATGAAAGGTGTTGGAATTGAGATATGAGAGGAATAAGCTTTACTTACATAGGGTCCATACAAATCAATATTTGCCTCCAACATTATATCCCTTAGTTTCTGCCCACCACAAGCTCTTCGAAGTAGCACATCAGGAGTTCCATCTGGTAATAAAGAAGACTAAAATGAACCAAAAAAACAAAAAAACAAAAAAAAACAAAGCAAAACGTCAAATGCCAATAACTTCAAGAGAACAAGACCTTGTAATAGTGATAATACAAGTACTTTTTACTGAAACTTACACTAAAAAAAGCAAAATCAACAGAAGGCGGTCCGTCTGCTTCTATATCTTCGGATTCACTGTCTGGGATGGTGGTAATGGCTCTGATTTTTCCTCCTCTAGTTCTGGAAAAGCTGAGGGGCTTATAGTAAGTTTTTTTAGGAGTTTTTTGTGTATTGGTAATGTAGTTGAAGTTTAAAGAGACTGAGGAAGAATATAGAGCTAAAGAGCTCAGCTGAAAAGCTCCCATTTTTTTGATATTTCAATGATTAAAAAGTTGAATTGCTTTGAATTTGATGGTCAATTGGATATTCATACTTGGGACATGGTTTGTGGTGGTTAGTTTCCACTTTTCGCCTTATCTGATCATGATCAAGTATTACATGGGCCTCACAGTGGGCTTCTTAATATCAGTACCCCACAAGACATAAGGCCCACAAAAAAAAATAAATAAATAAATCGCTAGAAGGAGGGCTTGAACCTCCGACCTTGTGGTTAACAGCCACACGCTCTAACCAACTGAGCTATTCCAGCTTGGTGGTAGTTTCTTTTTCTAAATTTTTTAAATAAACTTTACTAGATAAGATAGTTGTTAGCCTACACTCGTCCACATTATAAGACCAGTGTGTCTGGCCAATTACCACCGTTCCAATTATTTGATCATCAATGGCAATCTCATGATTTCCAAATTTATTTATTTCTCTAGTCTTCTCCCCTGCTAAAACCCTCTGGCGTTTGCGAAGGACAATACAATGCCACCACATCTCACAAATATCCGCTTACTCTTTGCCCCTTCCTTCTCTCTCATCTCTTCTCCCCTTAAACCCCCTCTCTCTCTCTCCTCCCTTCCCAGACCCAGCACTCTTTCTTCACCGCTCTTGCCTCCTCCTACCCCCCTAAACGACGCCGTTACGCTCCCCATCCTGGCCGCAGAAACAGCAGCACTTTCAGAGAGAGGAAAGAAGGAGCCCCGATGGAGAATTCTGAATCCGTTGGGTTTAACAAGAGAAGGGCTGAGGGTTGGGGCAAGAAAGATCAGCCCATGAAGAATCTGCAGTTGAAAGTGCGCAAACTCAATGCCAACTCCATCTCCTATGTCCAGGCAGGTTTTTTTTTTTTTTTTTTTTTTTTTTTTTTTTATTTTTTTTTTTATTTGTTGGATTGTTGGGTTTCGGTTTTTATGCTTGTTTCGATGTGGGTTTGTTTGATTTTCTTTCCTTGTGGACAGTATATAATTGGAAATGGAAATTTCAATATTTTTCCTCTATGGTGTTTCTTAGTTTTGATGAAATTGACAACTTACGTGTTGTTATGGTTTTAAGCAAAAAGAAAGTAGCTTTTGTTGTTGTGTTTGCGAGTTTCGGGTTTTAGAGGGGCGTAACAAGAAGTAATAAAGCTATAAGATATTGTTTGATTAGTACGAGAAACTCTTGAGTTAAGGTTCTACTTTGATCGTTTCATTTTGTGCCTTGTCGTTAAGGGTCTCTTTGCGAAGTACATTTTCTGTTTTTGGTTCTTAAGTGGCGAGTTTTGAAATACGTGTCATTTGTATCTGTGAGTTTCTTCAAGAATTCAGTTCACGCCTTTTGTTTTGTTTTGTATTTTTTTTTTTTTTTTTTTTTTTTCCCCTAAGTACATTTTCTGTTTTTGGTTCTTAAGTGGCGAGTTTCGAAATACGTGTCATTTGTATCTGTGAGTTTCTTCAAGAATTCAGTTCACGCCTTTTGTTTTGTTTTGTTTTTTTTTTTTTTTTTTTTTTTGTGCCCAAGTTTTCAGTTGTTTTAGGAGTTAATGACTATTGCCGTGTTTTGTTTCTATTTTTATTTTTATTTTTATTTTCTTATTGTAGATTCTGGGGACTGGAATGGATACTCAGGATACATCACCCTCAGTGCTGCTTTTCTTTGACAATCAAAGATTTATTTTTAACGCTGGGGAGGCAAGTCTTTCTGACAGATTTTAAAGAACCCCTGTTTGTTCCCCGCTTTTTTTCTAACACTTTTGTTGTTATTTCGTTTCTCAACATTGAATTCTTGTTGCAGGGATTGCAACGGTTTTGCACAGAGCATAAGATTAAGTTGTCAAAGGTGTGAGATATCTGAAAAATCTCTTAATTCTTCGGTTGAGATTTCATATGTTTAGTTTTCTTTGTCTTCAATCAGAAGGCTGTAAACATCGTGGGGAACTCATTGATGCGATTAATATTTTTTTTTAGATAGATCACATATTTCTCTCTCGTGTATGCTCAGAGACTGCAGGCGGGCTTCCAGGTTCGTCTCTTGTGTTCCTGCTAATAATTTTGGCATCAATTCCCTGGACGGGTTGTTTTAACGAGATTATTGTTGCGGCCTCTTAAAAATGCTTAGCCTTTTAATGCAGGTTTGCTTTTAACTTTGGCTGGCATGGGAGAAGAAGGAATGTCCGTGAGTATCAGATTGATTTCATGCTTTATCTGTTCACTTTGTTATTCTGACAAATTTAGCTTAAGATTGATTGAGATGATGTATCTTAAATTGTAGTGTACTATTTTTAAGGTTAATGTATGGGGCCCACCGGATCTGAAGTATTTGGTTGATGCCATGAGGTCTTTCATCCCAAATGCTGCCATGGTTCACACGCGGACCTTTGGACCGTCACGTGTTCTTGTTGAGCACGACGTTGTCAAGATATCAGCCATTCTTTTACAACCAAGTTTTTCAGAAATATCTAGGCGCTTGCATGAAGCACCCAGGAAGGGCAATGCTTCTGAAAAGGTTCTTGAAGAGAGAATGGATAATGCTTCAGTACCCTCAAGTCCAAACAGCAAAATAGCATCTCGAGGAAAGCCCAGTGACATGTCTGTGGTATATGTCTGTGAATTATCTGAATTTAAGGGGAAGTTTGACCCGAAAAAAGCTGCAGCTCTTGGTCTGCGACCTGGTCCAAAGTATCGTCAGTTGCAAGATGGACAATCAGTAAAGTCAGATAACCAAGATATCACGGTAAGTTCTGGAAACATAATGAAACTTTTCGTGGCTTGGCCAATGCTTTAAGGTATCTCATATCTGTTATTCTGTTATGCATTTGACCTTTTGAAAATAATTTTCTCTGTAATTTTCTATAGGTTCACCCAAGTGATGTAATGGGGCCCTCCCTTCCTGGTCCGATTGTATTCATTGTGGACTGCCCAACAGAATCTCATTTGCAAGAGTTATTGTCCGTAGAATACCTGAATACTTATTATGCAGATTTTTCAAGCCCGCCTGGGAGTTCTAAGGTTGTGACTTGTATCATTCATTTAAGTCCTACGTCTGTAGTAAGCAGTCCCGACTACCAAAAGTGGATGAAAAGATTTGGTTCTGCACAGCATATAATGGCTGGACATGAAAGGTTTTTATTTATTTATTTATTTATTATTTTTTTCTGGAGGTGTTTTTTATTCACCTGACTAGTTTTGTTGAATTTTTGGCATTCTTGCTGTTTGCAGGAAGAATGTAGACATTCCGATTCTCAAATCCAGTGCAAGGCTTGCAGCACGGCTCAATTATTTATGTCCTCAGTTCTTTCCAGCTCCAGGATTTTGGTCGCTTCAGCACCGTAGTTGCTCAGTACCAAACTCCGTTGTTTCAAGTGAGGTTTGTCAAAATGTTTGATAGACTTCTAATTCTTTTAAGCTTGCGACTGTTACATTTGGACAATTTGTAAACCAATTTATTTGTTGATGGGGTTTCCTTTAACCAGGGTTCTGATCTAAAGCTTTGTGAAAGCATTTCTGCTGAAAATCTCCTTAAGGTATACGAATGGTTGGTTTTCTTGGATTGAGCTAGTAATTTATCTAGTCTTTATCTTTATATATGCTATTAGTAACAAAATTATATGTCAACAGAATGCTAATCATATATGATAGAGATAATTAATACACTGAATTCCTAAGATTTTGTTCTGTTTCTAAAAAATAGAGGCTATTTCCCTGTCTGGTGAACAGTTCACTTTGCGACCTTATGCTAATCTTGGATTAGATAGATCTGGTATACCAAGCTCAACATCGTCCTTAGAGATCATTGAGGAATTACTTGCTGAGATTCCAGATCTTGGAGTTGCTGCCCAAAATGTCAGCCAGTTATGGCATGAATCCGCCAGAACAAGGGAAGAAATAAGTTCTGCACAAGATTCTGTGGTTGAAGAGCCGTGGTTGAATGAGAATAATGTTCCTAGTTGTTTGGAAAATATAAGAAGAGATGACTTGGAGATTGTCCTTCTAGGAACTGGATCATCTCAGCCATCCAAATATCGGAATGTCAGTTCTATCCATGTGAATCTTTTCTCAAAAGGAGGCTTGCTTTTGGATTGCGGTGAAGGAACGCTAGGACAGCTGAAAAGAAGGTAGACCCGAGCTTCTTTTTTCTTTCTTTTTTTTTTTCCCCTCCCCAAATGCATGTTTGTATAATAATTGTTCTCACCCCACATACTAAAATATAATGTCCCCGGTGCAATAGGTATGGTGTAGATGGGGCTGATAATGTTGTGAGAGGTTTAAGGTGTATTTGGATTTCTCATATTCACGCAGATCACCACACTGGCTTGGCTAGAATACTCGCCCTCAGACGTGATTTATTAGAGGGAGAACCTCATGAACCAGTACTTGTTGTAGGGCCAACACAGCTCAAGAGATATTTAGACGCATACCAAAGACTTGAAGATCTAGATATGCTGTTCCTTGACTGTAGGGA